AAAAAAAAAAAAAATCAAATATAGGCAGGACATCAGCTGGTAATAAGCATCGCAAGGAAAAACAGGAGGGCAGGACAGGACAAGGAAAGCAAAGGGCAGGTTGGGGGCATTTTTTACACTGGGTTGCGAGGAGGCTCACAGGCTGTGAGGTTTACGGGGCGGGGCATTGGAGTATCCCATTTGTTTGCTGTTGTCTTCTCTCCAATTAACTATGCTTCCTTGAGAGCAGGAACCATGTTTGGACTTTCATTCATTCATCCGTTCTTTATTCAGTAAGTGCATGCTGAGTCCCTCCATGCAGGTGCCATGAGCACACCTGTGCGTCCTGCTGTTGAGGGTAAGAGCAGAAGCCCAGCTCTGGGCCAGGTGACAGGTGCCCCCGCCCAAGGGATTTTCACGAACAGCCCCCAGTGCTTCACTGCCTCCCGAGAGGGTTCCCAGCACAGGCTAGCCCGTCTCCTGCTGGCCCAGCTAGAGCTCCACGTGGCCCTCAGGCAATTCCCCTGCACCTTCCCACTGAGTAGGCAGTGTGCGTGGGGTGCACAGGTAGACCGAGGGAAGCGGTATTCATGGTTGCTGGTCTGTGGTCACTGTTCCGTCTGGGGTTGAGGTGCGGGGAGGCTGTGCATTGGGTCATCAGTGGCCAAGCTCTACGCTGGGGTGGAGGTTTCCACTTGGTGGCCCTGCATGGCCATGCCTGGTGTTATGGTTCATGTGTAGGTGTCTCCCCAAAGCCTCATGCAGTCAGGGAGCAGCTCCTAGAGTTTGTGATTAATTCAGGATCCAATGGTAGGATTATGGGTGTGAGTGCTACCCCCACCCTCGGGCCAATAATCTGCATACAAGGGGAGAGAGGCTTGTTAGCTGCCTCAGCTGCTGCTTCTGCCTTTACTCTTTGCTGTTTTCCACTGCCATGAACTGCTGCCCTCTGCATGTGCGGCTCTGCCTTGGAGCCAGCTGAGTATGGACTGAAGCCTCCACTAACTGTGAGCTAAATAAACCCTTTCTTCCCTAATTTGGAGCGTCAGGTATTTTGTCCCAGCAATGAGAGAAAAGTAACTAAGACCCCTGACTTGGGATCGGCAGGAAAGGAACTAGATTTCCAGGCTTCCTTGCCGAGGGCTGCCCCGCTTTCTATCCCTTCTATATTCTTAGCTTCTCAAGCCCAGTGCCTGTGCACAGTGGGTTTCCAGTCAGTATTTGACTCAACACTGGTAATATATGCACAGCCCCCACCAGGGCCACCCAGGGCAGAGGCCTGAGTGTGCCACAGAGCGTGTGAAGGGCGTGAGCAGTGCTGAGTTCCTGGCATGGGACAGGACTGGATTTGCCCGTTCTGCAAAAGGGACCCTGGACAGGCAAGGACTTGGTTTTCAGAGGCTGAGTTAGGAGCATCCATGGGACACTCGAAGGCCTGAAGGTCTCACAATCACAGAAGGGCATGAAAGCAGAAGCAGGGGCCCAAGAGCCAGATGAAAAGGAGTTGTGCTGGGGGCCAGTGGACTGCTGTGGAGATGTGTGCCATCAAAAGGCTCTGGGTGATGACGGGAAGTGGCTGAGGAGAAGTGAGAGTCCTGGGGTCACGGCATTAGCGTGAGCCACATCCACCCTTCCTCACTTTCCCTTCTACTCAGGACCAAGTTGATGTTTCAGCCCCCAAGCTCTGTACTGCTGGGTCCAGGTGGAAGGAGAGCTGAGACTTCTGGGATGGAGTGGACCTGGCTTTTCCATGACAACTCTCTCACAAGGGAGATGTCTCAGTCCCAGGAGAAAGGGGAAAAACAGCCCCTGATTCACTTAGAGAAGGCTTGGGCCACTCAGCAGCTGTGTGTCTGTGGGGGCAAACCCCAGACTTTTCCCAAGAGCAGATTTGAGGGAGTCTAACTCAAAGGCCTTGGTGGGGCTTCACTAGAGAGCACAGGCTAAGCAGACATTCTTGCCCAACACTGCCTGTGGCCTGGAAACTCTGAGTGAGGTCTGGGTAGGCCTTGGGCTAAGGAGCCATCTCAAAAGGATTCCTTCTCCAGCACACAGGTGAGGCTCAGTGGAGCTTTGTTGGATGGATGGATGGATGGATGGATGGATGGATGGATGGATGGATGGATGGATGGGTGAGTGGATGGGTGAATGGATGGGTGAATGGATGGGTGAATGGATGGGTGAATAGATGAATGGAGAGTTCAAGCATTCCTAACAAAGGAATGCTTGGGTGGTCCTTGGGATCTGCTGAAGTGTGCCTCCAGGCCTGGCAGATGGATGGCTCTCCTCAGTGTTGATCGGGCAGCAGGTGAGGGTGGGATGAGGACACAGGGGTTTCCTGAGTCCACCAAATGGCCATAAGTCCTGAAGAGATAGACATGGCTGTTTCCCACAGTTGGCCTATAGGATAGTGAAGTAACGTGCCCTCCCTTTAGGAGCTTCAGAACTTTTGCTCCTCTGTAGTTTTTTTATTTTTAGCTCCTCGGCTATGAACTTGAGGCTTCTTTCTACTCTCCTGACCCAGAGCTGGAGAAGGGGCTGCATTGGCAGCCTTAATGTCCCAGGTGGAAAGGACACACAGAACACTCTGTGTCCTTGCCCACCCTCAGAGCAGAGCACTGGCTCCTTCTAACAATCCAGGCTCAAGCCAGAACATTCCTCCATCACTTTCTCTCCCTGCTTTCCTCATCTTTCCTGAAATGGATTTTGAGTCTGTGAAGGTGTCCTGGCCACACGTGTTGAGTCCCTGGCATGGCACCAACTCAGAATATTACAGTGCAGCGGCCGCAGCTGGGTCACCATCTGAACGTGCACATCCTGAGCATCTGTGTCCAGTGTGGAGCCGGGCCCTGGGGACAGACATATGGATGCCTCCCTCCCTGGCTGTGCCCTCAGGGAGCTCCCAGCAGATTCCTAGGGGAGGAGGCCACCAGGGAAGGTGATGGCACCACAGAACATAGAGGACAGGTGCTCCCTGGACCTCTGCATTTCTGTCCAGGGAGCTGGGTTGAGGCTGTCATGGGGACTTGGAGCTGCTCCTGGTGCTGCCCAGGGTCATCAGCACAGAAGTCTCCTCCAGTCTGGCTGGCTGTTGATACCACCCCTCTGGGATCAGTCTTGGTACAGAGTCCTTGTGCTTGGGTTACATGAGTGGTCAGGGATGCTGGTTGCAGAGGTGTTGGGGGTCAGGATCCACTCACCATGGTGGATGATATTCCACGGCACCCCAGGGGGCCTCTGGGCATCTGTTTACATGCATCTACTCATCTCCAGCATGTCCTTCTCAGGGTCTCTCATGGGGGATTTGGGGAGCACTGGCCAGGCTGTGGCTCAGGAGAGAGAGGCTGAGCCATGGTGTGTGTCATCCATCACCCCAGCACCAAGCAGCAGGAGGCTTGGATATATACCCACCTCTGCAGTAGGCAACAGCCTGGAGAAGCTGCCTCGCTTGGTGTTGGGTCTGGTGGCTCTGGCATCATAATTTGCTTGTCCTTGCAGCAGCAGAGCCAAGCCTGAGGTGTCGCAGGAGAGGCAACCCTGTGTGCCTAGCACAGTGCCAGGCCCAGCATATGCCCAGGGGACTGTCATTTCTGCAGGGGCCTCAGCAATGTCCTCTCTGATTTCTACTTCCCTCAGTACGCCTTGTCTTGGGCGCTGGTGCTTCCTGGGGCCCATGCTCTCAGTATCCAGCAATGAGCATTGGTTAAGAGTAGGGGCTTTCGGGCTGGGGAAATAGCTCAGTAGAATAAGTGCTTGCCTGGCAAGCACAAGGTCCTGAGTTCAATCCCTGATACCAGAAAAAGAAAAAAAAAAAAAAAAAAAAAAAAGAGTAGGGCTTTCAATTGAGAATGACGAGCCTGAGTCCAGATCTTATAACTTACAAGCTGTCACCTTGGATGCCTTTCACAAAAGCCTTTTCAGCCTCAGTTTCCTCATCTGTACAATACGAGACAACTGGGATAAGGTACAGATGTGGTAAAACAGTTGGCTCCGGCCTGGTGTGCACTGAGCATTCACCACACCATGGAACCTTTCTGCCTGTGGCACCTGATGCTGACCTTTATCTCAGGTGACAGGAACACCCTCAAAAGGCTTCGATGAGAAGGCGTACCTGTCGGCCAAGCTGCTGAAGCCTGGAGAGGACCCCTACAGGCAGCACGCCTTCAACCAGCTGGAGAGTGACAAGCTAAGCCCCGATCGACCCATCCGGGACACCCGTCACTACAGGTGCGAAGATTTATCTTAATTTTTACCTTGGGGGATTAGTAAAACACACTTCTGGGCATGTCTACATAGTTCTTGGGGCTTGAACCTGAGGGACTAGGTCTGGCCTCTGACCCCCTCCTGCCAGGCTCTTCTTGCTGCTGCTCCTCCCCGGCTTCCAGGAGATGAGGCGCTGTCCCTTTACCTTGTCCTTCCTCCATGGCATGTCTGCCTTGCAGCTACCGACCATGGGCTGACACCGCTGAAGCTGAAACTGTGACCCCTGATAAACCTCCTCCATTAGATGCATGTCAGGAATTTGGCCCAGCCCCAGAAAGGTGACTGATCTAGCTGGTGTGTGTGGTTTTCTTTTCCTCAATGTGTCCAGGGACTTAGATTTAGCAGCAATCTTAGACTTACCCTCAGGGGCTGTCAATTTCATTAGCTGGCTCATAGCAATCAAAGGCCAAGGAAAGCTCCCAGCTGGGGTTAGGGGACCTGTGGCACCTCAGTTGGCATCCCAGGGCAGTGACCTGCCAGTGACTATGGGGGGGCCTCAGGCAGTGGGTGACCCAGACTCCCAAAAAGGAGCCTAGGGCCCGCGGGAACCACTGGCCTCCTGCCTTGCTGCCCCACCTCAGTGACACCCAGAACCCTGCCTGTGTTGTCCTTAGCTTTCCCAGCATGGGAGGCAGCAGAGGACCTCAACCAAAGGTAGGGGCTACTCCCTGCAGCCCTCCTCTGACTAGCTCCCCTGAGAAGCTGGCATTGGGCGGGTTACTACCCTCCTCTGTGATTCAGGGCCTTTGTGTCATATCTGGGGCATAAGTCAGCCCTCTGATCTTTCTTCCCCCTGTGGTCACCTGCAGGAACAGCCCTTCTGCTGCCGCCTCACCCCCAGGCCCGGCCTCATCTGCCTTCCCTGCGACACCTCTCGCTTTCCTCCCTCCTCTTTTCCCTCTGCCTGAGCACACTTTCCCCAGACCACCTATATACCCTTCGGGGCTTGGCTCAGCGTCTTCTCCAGGGAAGGTTCCTTGCAAGCCCTGGCTCCTTCTGGGGTCCTGCCCTGCGCTCCAGCACTGTTCTGCCTGCTGCTTTGCATGGGAAACAGGAGCTACGTGGGGTCCAGCCACAAGCACTGAGCTGTCTGGTCCTGGTTCGTGGGTAGGCAAGAGTCATTTCCGAAGCAGTCACTCCATAGCACAAAGGACACTTGTGAAGGGAGGGGGCAGGGCTGGTTCTAACACCTTCCTCATTACTCTTGGAGAAGCATCTGAGGTCCAGGGCTTGGAAGCTTGTGCAAGGAGAGACATGTGGGGATCAGGATTCCCTGGACCTTGGGCTCACTGTGCTGTCAGCCCCTAGGATTCCCTTCATGCTACCAAGTAAGGCAGTAATTCTGTTAACTCTCCTCTCACCCCCATGTGGAAATAGATGGTCCAGGCCCTGGGGAAGCCCTTTCTCTGTCACCTAGAGGCAATTTCCCCCATGTCCCTTGGTTTGGCCTGTCAGGCTAGGTCTATGCAGCTCTGCTTGGCCTTTTGTGGGCAGCCCTAACCTAAACCAATGTGGGGCCGGGAAGATCTGCTGATCCAAATCTGTGGATTAAGGCCCTGGCCTGGTTCGTCTCTGCCTGTCCTCCCAACCTACTCCTACTCTGAAGCTTCTCTGCATTCACTGAGAAACCAGAAGGGGAAATTGCCTATCTGGCAAAACATGTTTTAAAATGAGACCCTCCAGCCAGGTCAGTGGTGAATTGGTGGGGTGCTGCAGGATCAGGGTGCTCGGGTATGTGTGCGCATGCATGTGCGTTCATGCATGCCCATTCTGGCATGTGCGCATGTGTGCATGGGCATGTATGTGTGTGCACACATACGTGTATGTGTGTGCATGTTGCTTGTGTGCACACAGCGTATGTGCAAGTGTGCATGGAGCCCACATCCTCCCTCTGTGGTTTCTTCTGCTGCACTGGGAAGAGACCAGTCAGTTCCTGCTCCAGGAGTGGTGTGAGGAGATGTAACCTAAGAGGACCAGAGGGACAGCCTCCCCAGCCCAGAGTCCAAGTCTAGGTGGGGCAAACCCTTCAGAGACTCCTGGATCCATCTTCCTAGAGCTACAGAAGTCCAAGAGGAATGTGGGGGTTGGAGAAGTGGCTCAAGTCTGTCCCCCAGACAGGCCGTTTCATCCCCTTCTGGAATGGAAGGACACTGCTATACAGATTTCCTCCTTTCTGGACACCTAATGGTTGGAGGGCAAGGACAGGGACTTGGAGCCTGAGGTCAGGACTGGGGGCTGGGAGCCAGGCCCACTCCAGCCCCACTGTGGAGATGTTTGGAAAATGGCTTCAGGGAGCAAATGGAAGGTTTCCCTCCCTCACCGCCCTCCCACATCCCTGTTAGGGAAAATTATGTTCAAGCCTCTCAGCTTTCTCCCCTGGGGGTCCCAGGCCAGAGGGACCTCTGTCTTGTTGACTGGGTTTGCTCCGCAGGCAGGAAATAGGCCTGGGAATTCCTGCAAGATGCGCCTGTCAGTGAGTGAATGTCGTAATGAAAAAATAGTCACTGTTGAAATAGTCCAGGGAGCAAAGGCAATAAAGAAGACCGCTGTGAGAACCAGTGGAGGCGGCTGTCTTCCTGGCTGCTGGGAGCCTGAATAACTGCCTCAGCAGGAGTGACAGGGAGGTGGCACGAAAGATTTGCTCTCCTCCCCATCCCAGCCCCTCAAAGCCTTGTCTCCTGAGAGGCCTGCCTCCCTCTTGTGACTCCTGCAGGGCTACTTAGGTCCCCTCCTCAGTGAGAAGGAGGGACCCCTGCATACAGGGAGGGGGACTCCTGCCCACAGCCTGAGCAGAGAAGAAAAGGAATCCAGGAGTCAGGAGGCAAAAACAGGGTGGTTTTCTTCTTGCCCTGTACTGGCTGCCCAATAGGTAGGGACCTCCGACAGGACCCAGGCTCTCTCCTGGACCCTGCTGCTGGCCAGCTTGGCAGGGAGTCCTAAATAGACAGTGGACAGGGGTGGCGGGGGCGGCTTTCTGGGTGCTCTCAGTCTTTGGTAAAGAGCTCCCGGGCCTGAAAAGACCCCCCCAAACTGCTGCTCGCCTGCTAGGACTCTATAGGCTAGGTGGCACCAGGCCACCCAGCCAGGGTAGGAGAAAGGGTGGATGTGGGGGGCAGGATTGGCCTTCTCTGCCTCACAGAGGCATTCTGGGGAACAGCAAAGAAAAGCATGGAACCCACTTGATGGTGGCCGTGGCTGGGCCCTTACCTCCTGCTTGTTTCCAGTTGCCCATCCCTGTCCTACTCCACGGACCTGCCAGCCACCAGTGTCATCATCACCTTCCACAATGAGGCCCGCTCCACCCTGCTGCGCACAGTGAAGAGGTAAGCAGCCCAGGCTCCTTGTCTCGTGCCAGAGCCCCCGGGGCCTGCGTGGCCTGCAGAACCACTGACTGGGCAGGTCCTAGAGATTGGGGGCTGTGGCCAGTCTGCATAAGGACCAGAGAGCACTGGGAAAGTGGGTCCTGTCTTGAGAAGTGGGGCTGGCAAATCAGGGTCAGTAGACACCAGAAGCCAAGCAGAAGGCCAGGAGCCCAGGACAGGGGCTGGAGGCAGGATTCAGGAGTAGAGTGAGGCCAGGATGGACACAGTTCTGAGGAGGTATATGCTAGCCAAGCAGGCTCTTGGTGACTCAGAGAGCCCCCACTTCCCCGCGTGGTCCTCTAACCTGGTTCTTGTAGTCAGGCCTAACTCCTACCACCGCCTTTCCTCAGTGGCTTAGGCAAGAATGGGGTTTGGAAGGTTACCCTGTGGTGTGCCTGCATGCTTCCCCAGAGAGACAGGGAGGAAGGGCACAGAGGCAAGGCAGGAACAAGGAAGCCCTGGAGAAGGCCTCTTCTGCACTCTGGGACAGCAGGAGCCTCCCTGGCCTCCTCTGCCTGCATCTGGGTGTCCCTGGGCAGCCTGGTAGGCACTGCGGGCTAAGCTTCTGTCCTAGCAACCCAACTGGTGCAGTTTCCCCATCATCTGGGACAATCCCACACCACCCAGGGTCCAGGCAGCAGTGCCAGGCCCAGGAGAGCCTGAGGATCAGCTCCTGATCAGGGTCAGGCATTTGTAAACAGTGGCCAGTGGCCAGCGTGCCGGCTCTGGAGCTAGGGATGAGTGGAAAGGCCCCTAATCCGGGCTTCACCTCTCTCCTCGCTGCTGGCCCAGTGTCTTGAACCGGACTCCAACCAACTTGATCCAGGAGATCATTTTAGTGGACGACTTCAGTTCAGATCGTGAGTATTCCCTGGCATTTTTGTGCTGCTCCGTCCTCACCCCATCGAGGTCCCCACAGCAAGCCCTCTTCCGAATGCCCAAACCATTGTGCCCCGCCCTCTCAGCCAACAACTAGAGATCTGTGATCTTTTTCCTGGGACCTGTACCCACCCTAGCGCCAAAGATAGGGCAAGAGTTCTGCTTGGGATGAAAGAGCATCAGTAGCATTCTTCCTAATTACACCCGCTGGGCGCCAAAGAACATCCTTTCTGCAGGGCTTCCTGAGAGCAAGGCGGCTTGTCAGTGCTGAGCTCTCTGGCACCTCCTGGCGTGAGGCCGGGGGAAGGTTGCCCAGCCTGGGCTGGGGCGGCCAATCTCTTAGCTAGCCGTGAAAGAATGCCGGTGACCTCCGATCTTGCACTCCCCCTTCCCCTGGCTGTGTGGGACAGCATCCAGGCAGCCAAGCCGCTTCAGTGCGCTGCACCGTTCACCCAAATGAGCTTGCCTTCCTTCCCTACTCCCAGCTGAAGACTGCCTGCTCCTGACCAGGATCCCCAAGGTCAAGTGCCTGCGCAATGACCGGCGGGAGGGTGAGTGCGGGGGCAGTGGGAGGGTGAGTGCGGGATGGACAGCTTCAGGCCTTGCTCTTCTCCTGGCTGCCTTCATTGTCCCTGCTGGGAAATGGAACAGTCACAGTGCCCTTTCAGCTTTACAAGGCTAAGGATGAAATGAGAGAGGCTGCCCTGGAAGGTTTCGAACAAAGCAAAAGGAAGGTTTAAGCAGATCCAACATCCCTTCCAAGGACATGGCGCTTCAGAGCCCTGGCTGTGGCGCCGCCTTGTGCAGAGCCCTCCGGGATACAGGACATGCGCAGAGCCTGGCTGCAGCCCTCGGAAGGCTGCTAGGTGGCCAGGTCATGTGGATGATCGGCAGCCGTGGGGAGCTCCTGAGACAGGACAGGGGTCGCAGTGGGGGCAGGCGAGGCGCAGGGGCGCTGGAGGCACATGGGGTCCTAGGAGCCCCTCTTGCTGCCTGTCAGGTATCCTCATGGCCCGCATTCTCCCATCCAGTCTTCATAACAGCCCAGAGTCCCCACTTTGTAAACAGGGAAATTAGGCTTTCAGAAGGCTCGGTAATTTTCCCAGGGCGATAAAGAGAGTGTGCAAGGTCCTAACCAGCTGCGTCCAACACCAGGGCCGGCCTCTCAGCCTCTGTGCATGTAGCCGTGCCCTGAGAATCCCGGTCTGCCCAGCAGGGGAATGAGTGGGATCAGTCGAAATGGGAAAAGACCTTGAAAGCCTTAGACTCAATAAGGCGGACAGCAGGGAGCCGCTGAAGATTTGACAGTGAGAGAATTTGGAGACAGTTGTGTGTGACAGACCGGTTAGGCCACGGAGCCGTATTGGCGGGAGAGAAAAAGCATGTGGAGAATTGTCTCCCGAACCACAGGAACTGGGGACATGCAGCCCGCCCATGGAGGCTGAGAGTGGATGTAAACTCGTGGGTACGAGCTTTCAGGATTCCTTTGGAGGAGGATGGGGCTGCTGGCTATTGGACGGGTGGGTGGCTGCTTAGATGGGCAGAAGCATGGCCCGGAATGGCTCCAAGAAGGACTTTACTGGAGGGCTCTGGCTGAGCCTTTTCCGTCCCCACAGCTGCCAGGTCTTGAGAGCAAGGGCAGGACCAGCTGGGTCGCCTTTCTCCTGACCAAACAGGTCCCAGCCCTGAGGAGCCCATTCTTTGCTGCTCAGCCAGCAGCTAGAGGCTGTGGGGAAGTGAGGACAGAAAGGGGGCCCTAACATCTGCTGGGCCCTGAGCACAGGAACTGTCCTTGTCATCTTTGATCCTGAGGAGCAGGGGTCATTATCTCTGAACTTAGAGATAAGAAACCCAAGGAAGCTCGGAGAGATTAAAGCGCTCAAGGCGAGAGAGAATGGGAGGGCTGGCATGCAGACTCAAGTGTGTCTGGAAGAATCTCTCCGTCAGGTTTGGTGATGCAACTGGTGGTTCCCACACCACAGATCTCTGTTTTCTGGCTTTCCTTCAGGACCAAACCATACTTTATTGCATTTTCCATTCACTAAACTTGACTGTCCATTGGCACCTGGCACATGGAGATGGGTAATGTGTGAGAAGAGGAAAGAAAGGGAGGCAGGGAATGAACTGAAGGATGAGCAGAGGCCGGACAGTACCTCAGCCACTGAGAGGAAGGGAGCTCCGGCGCACTGGGGCTCAGCCCCAGCCCCAGTGATTTCCTCTCTTATTGCAGGGCTGATCCGGTCCCGAGTTCGCGGGGCAGACGTGGCAGCAGCCACCGTCCTCACGTTTCTGGACAGCCACTGTGAAGTGAACGTTGAGTGGCTGCAGCCCATGCTGCAGCGGGTGAAGGAGGTGAGCTCCCTGTCCCCCATCTAGCGGGGAGGCCTTTGGGGCTTGCTGCCAGGCTGTCGGTAAGAGGGAGGAGGGGCAGAGTGTGAAGCCCAACTGGTATCCAAGGGGGCCTCCGTGGTCTGCTTGGGGTCTGCCTCCTGGGGGAGCTGCACTTCCCTGAGCTCTTTCATGGGGAAGCAGGGGCCTGTGTCTGTGGGTTGCTGCGAGAGCTACACTGGATGAAAGCTCCCTCTGTGCACAGGTTGGTTTAGGTCCTGGACAGCCAGGACCCGTGCTGGGTGAGCTGAGGCCAGGCTGGGGCCCTAGAGGGAGGCAGGAGAGCCTGCAGTTCTCACACGGGGAGGGGTCCCCTGAGCGTCCCTGCTGTTCCCCAGAATGAGCGGCTGTGCACAGATGGCAGAAAAGGCTGAGGGGGTGCGACTCAAGCAGAAAGAGAAGAGCCCAACTTTACAAAACCAGCATAGCGCTTAAATAGATACTTCTTCAAGGAAATGTTTAACCAACACCATAAAAAGATGCTCAATATTATTAATCACCCAGGAAATGCCACTCTGAGCCATAGTGAATACTGTCGCTTCATACTTTCTAGGATGGCTGCATTTAAAAAATATGGACAATAAGGATTCCTGACAAGGATGTGGATGAGTAAAACCCTTCATACATCACTGGGGGAAATGAAAGTAGTCACCTCAGAAAGCAGCCTGGCATTTCCTCAAAAGTATAGCTAGAATTACAATCTGACCCAGTATATCCATAGCTGGGTGTATACCCGAGAGAAATAAACTCCAAAACTACACACACATACAAACACTTGCACCATGTATATTCAGAAAGACACTATTCAGAAGAGCCAAAAGGTAGAGTCATCTATCAGCTGATGGATGGATAAACAAATATGGTATATCCATACCATGGAATGTTATGGGGCTGGGGAGATGGCTCAGTGGAATAAGTGCTTCCCTGGCAAGCATAAGGAATATTACTCAGCCATAAAAATGAACAAAGCCCTGATGTTTATCACAGTATGAATGAACTTTGAAAACCTTAGGCAAAGCAAAAGCCAATCATTAAAGGCCATAGTCATATGAGTCCATTTATAGGAAACATTCAGAATAAGTAAATGTACAGAAGTCGTTTTTGTTCAGGTGACGAAAATGTTAACTAGGGAGTGGTGATAATTGTATAACTTATGAACATACTACAGACTGTGCACTTGACATAGTGAGACTTACAGCACGTGAGTCCTGTCTTGCCACAAAAGCATCTCCAACAGAAGCAGCGAGGCCACCGCAGGACACCTGGCTTCCCGTCTCCTTTCCTGAGGATGGATGAACTGCAGGGCAGGCCTGGCTGCATCCCAAGCTACAGACAACAGGGTGTTGAGGGAGGAAGAAGAGTGGTGGAAGAAAAGGCAAAATGAGGCTCTCCTGTGCCCCCACAGAGGGTGAGAGGGAAGGGAGGAAAGCGTGACTAGGTGTGAATGGCTTTCAGACATAATCCACCACCGGCCCAGTGCAGTTCATACTAAAGACTTAGCAATGTTCAAGTTGGATTTGTATCTTGCGAGGGGAGAGAACAGAGAGGCCAGTCTGGCCTCCGGGGGAATGTGGCATGAAAGGAGACGCCCTACCTGCCTTATCCAGGGACCACAGTGTCACTGCCGTCAGCTCCTGCCCAAGTGTATACAAAGCTGCAGAGTGCACAGCACAGCTGCTCAGACCAGCAGCACGAGAGCCAGGTAGCGTCTAGATGGTGATTGTGGGAGCAGCTTAAGGAAACCAAAGATACCTTGCAGCATGCAGCATCAGAGAGGTCTTTGCTGAGGAGATGAGCTGGCACATGCTGGCAGGAGAAGAGGCTGGGGCTGTCTTGGGCCTGGGGAACCCAGATGGGGCCTTCCAGGAGCCCCATACACAGCTGCTGTGTATTTTCCAGAGAGACTTCCCCAGATCAGAGGGCTAAGCCTTTTTTCTGCAGAGAACCCCTGGCCTCACGCCTTCTTGCGCCTCCTCTCCTAGGACCACACGCGTGTCGTGAGCCCTATCATTGACGTCATCAGTCTGGATAACTTTGCCTACCTGGCAGCCTCTGCTGACCTTCGAGGAGGTGGGTCCTTCCCCCAGGCCTGAAGAGAAACAGACCAAAGGCAGGCCAAGGCCCTGGCTCAGTGAGGTGGTGCTCTTCCCAGTTGTGCCAGAGTATGACGCTTCCCTTCCCCAGCCCTTCCTGCCAAAGATAAAATGAAAGAGGCCCTGAGGACCTGGGCTTAAGGGAGAGCAGAGGCAGGCCAGCCCTATCTTTCCCTCCCCCAGCACTGGCACAGCCTTCCTAGATGCAGCCAGACCATTCTTGCTTGGCACAAGGGCCTCGGGCTGCCATATGTAGCGCAGGGATGCGGAGCATTGGGCTGTGTGCGAATTCCTAGGCTGCTCACCCCGGTGTGGCCAGGACCTTGCTGTGTCCACCTTTGGGCAAGTGAGCTCTGGAAATGTGGCTTTTTATCAAGTGACCAGTTGGAGTTGAGATGTGCTATATTTATTTTAAAAACGCATGGCAGCCCTTGGAATTTCCAAGACTTAATGTGAAAGAATATAAAATGTCTCAGTATTTTTTATTGATTACATGTTGAAATATTATTGAGATGTATCGCATTAAGAATACTCTATTCAAATGAACTTCATATGCTTTTTCTTTTTCCTAACTCACAGAACACTCAAGATGACACATGTGGTTTAGGGTTGCCGCTTGCCTCATATGTCTTTGGACCATTCTTGTCTTGATTCCAGTAATGTGCTGTGTATTCATCACAGGAGACAAGGACTACAGCTGACTATTGATGTTTAAATTAATTAAAATGAAATAAGGTTTACAATTCCATTCCAGAGTTGTACCAGCCACATGTCAGGTGCTCACCAGCCATGTGAGGTTTTGCTACTGCATTAGACAGGACAGAAATTTCTGTCCTTGTAGGAGCTCTGCTGGCTGCTGCTGCACTAGACACTGTGGCCAGGAGCTGCTGGGCATAGAGGGTTTCCTGTTCAGGCTGGCTGCCAGTAAATGGGTGAGCCATTAATCAGATCTGCAGCTGGCATGGGAGTCTGGGAGAAGCCAAAGACTTCCTCGCTAGGGGTCACCTCGGGGCCTTTGCACTTGCAGTCGCCCCTGAAAGAATTCTCTTTCTGCAGATATTCTTGGGGAGCCATCCTTTACTCTGGTCTCTATTGAAACTTCACGTGTCCCTTAGGGTTTGACTGGAGCCTGCACTTCAAGTGGGAGCAGATCCCTCTGGAGCAGAAGATGACCCGGACAGACCCCACCAAGCCCATCAGGTCAGGGCTGCTGTGGGCGCGGGGAGCCCCTTCCTTCCTTCTGGCTCAGGAGCCCAGAAGACACATGGGAGGCTGGATTAGCGGCAGGACTCCTGTGGGCTCTGTGTTCTGGGGATGGGGTTGGGGGGAGAGGTGTGGGAACCATTGCAGAGATCCTGGAGCTAGTGGGATATCCTGCCCCAGGGACACTGCAGCAGGGGGCGGGGCGATCTGCCCAGGGCCTCAGCCTCTCCTTTCCCCAGGACGCCTGTCATAGCCGGAGGGATCTTTGTGATCGACAAGGCCTGGTTTAACCACCTGGGGAAGTATGATGCGCAGATGGACATCTGGGGAGGAGAGAATTTTGGTGAGTTGGGAAATAACAGCAAACAGTGTGGCAGTCGGGGTAGCACCGGCTGAGCATGCTCTGTGCAAGCGATCTGAGGACTTGCTACTTGCTCAGTCGTTTAATCCTCACAAGGACCTTGCAAGGTAAATCCTGCCTTCTCCGTTTTCCCAATGGAAATCCAAGGCACAAGCTGAGAGTAGCTTTGCACACCCACAATCCCAGCACTTGTGTGGCTGAGGCCAGCACATTGCAAGGCAAGTTAAAGTCTCCCTGAACCCAATTTCCTCTGGAGGCTATTCAGGCTAGTAAATGTGTCCCTCAGTATCCCTCGCTGAAAATGGGGCTGTAGGGACACCCTGAGGTCCAGGGCGCACCTGGAGGGCCTTGAGGATAATTCCATCTTCTACCAGTGCCTGCCGCTGGCCAAAAGTCTTGCAGAGGGAAAGAGGTCGTGCGCTGTGGCCCATACCAGTCGGGATGGAGAATGGCAACAGGCCAGCCCAGGGGCTCGAGAAGCAGGAGTCGGCCCTTTTGCTTTCTTTAAAATACAGGGGCTGCATTTCTGCCCTTCCCACCCTTTCCTGCCATCTCCTTTTTCATCTTCACCTGCTCTCTTCAGCTGTGGGCACCTCACCCATTTGGCAGATGGGAAAACTGAGGTAAGCGCTGCCTTCCAGATTTCAATTAGAAATCACCACATCCTACAGCGCCTGAGGCAGAACCACCTAGGTTGGGGGGGGGTGTTATCCAAGTCCAGGCTGCTTGTCTGAGATGGTAGGAACGTGCTTCTCCCTCTCCTCTGAGGAGAGCCTTGAGTGGAGAGGCTAACACCTGTCAACCTGCTCAGCACCCACCAATCAGGTGGACCCTGGGGCGGGATTTTCTCCCCGGGTGACTTACTCTTGGAAACAGTTTCCAGGCAGGCCCTGGAGGAGAGTTCTCACTCAGCACCCATCAGTCCTACCTCCTTTCCTGTTGTGGACAAGGTGGCCTCCTTCGTGTCCTGGGGCTCAGCCTGAAGGCAACCTTGGCTGCATTGGCTTCCTGTGAGGACCTTGAAGGCTGGGAGAGGTGCAGGCCCCCCTGCCTCCAGAGGCCTCGCTCTCTGTTTTGGGGGCCTCTGGGCTGGCAGAGCAACAGTGAATGATCAATAACTGCACCACGATGCCTGAGGCACCGGCTCTGTGGTCCTGGAACTTGAAAGGTGGACTGCAGAGCCATTCTGGCGAGGGCTGCATTTCTGAGGAAAAATTCAAAGGACTGTGTGGGCTGGCTGCAGCGCTCAGCTGTGCAGCTGCCCAGCTGATCTGTGGCCAGGGATCTCTTGTCTCCAAGCCTTTCATTTCACTCTTGAAGGGAGAGAGAGGCCCAAGCTGAGCAGTGTTCCTGCGGTCCCCAAACTCAGGACCCACAGGTCCCCTCGAGTTAGGCCTGGTGGGTGTGAAAACCTTTGGGTTCTCCTCAGACGTCTTTTAGATTTGATTTAATTTGATTCATTTTGGTAGTGCTGGGGCTCGATCCAGTCAATGCCTGTGCACGCTCTGGCACAGAAATCTGTCCCCCATCCCAAGGAATCCTTCGGAAGCATAGATGGCTCACGTCTCTGCTCAAACCCCGTGAGGGCTCCTGTGCTATTTGAAGGTCCCCACCCTGGCCATCAGGCCTATATGTGCAGGGCTTCCTCCCCAGCACCCTGGGAATTTCACCCTGCTCCTCACCCCTCTTGCCCTGCCTCCTAGCTGTGCCTGGACCCAGTCCCTGCCGTTGCCCTCTCCCCCCGGGAATGTGCCAGGCCCTTGCTGGTCCCCCACCTGGAAAGCTCCTTGCTTGACAGCCGCTGCCTCCCTCTGTTGCCTGTTTCAGGGCTTAGCTCCCATATCCCTTTTCAGAAAAGACTCCCCAAGTCAGCCCCACTGGAAGCCATTCCCCCAACTCCTCCTGCCCTCTGCAGCCCTCTACTCTGTTATTTTTCTCCATTGCATTTGTCACCCTCCGATGCTACACAGGGGACACACTTTCTCCCAGACTTGAGATCCTGTCTCCCAGTATACTACAATGTAAGGAAATCTAAAACACTGTATAACCTGAAATAACACCAGATGCCCTGAGGAACCATTCACTCAAACAGTTCAGCTTGCTCGACACTGAAATTTTGTTTTTTATTTCTTTTTTTTTTTTTGACACTGGAAATTTTGGGTTGCACTCTGACTTAATAGTTGGATGATTTTGCTGAGGTTATTTAATATCTTTTTTTTTAAATTTTATTTATTTATTTGAGAGAGAGAGAGAGAGAGAGAGAGAGAGAGAGAGAGAGAGAGAGAGAGACCAGCTCAGCCCACCAGGGGGCAGGCTGGCTGGCATGTGGTGCTGGGGGATCGCACCATGGTCCCTGTGCTTTGCCAAGCTTGTTCTAAGTAGGTGCTTTAGACCACTGAGCCATCTCTCCAGCCCCGTTATTTAATATCTTGAAACTTTTTTTTTTTAATATTTTTGAGACAGGGTCTTACTATGCAGCTCAGGCTGGCCTTGAGCTCACCTTGTAGCCCAAGTTGGTCTCAGACTAACAACGATCCTCCTGCCTCAGTCTCCTGAATGCTGGGATTACAGGCATGTGCTACCACGCCCAGCATGTCTTATTAAAAGCAACTTGAAGAGGGCCACTGAGATAGCTCAGCAGTCTAAGCACCTGCCTAGGCAAGCACAAGGGCCCAGGTTCAATCCTGGCACCACATGCTGTGCCAGCCCCACCCCTGGGCACAGTGAGCCAGCCACTAAGACCAGGCGTAGTGATGCACACCTATAATCCCAGCACCAGGGAGGCTGAGACAAGAGGATCATTATGAACACAAGCTGCCAAATACACCAAATTTAAAAAAAAAAAAAGCAATGTGAAGAGAAAGCTGGGTGCTGGTCTCCTTGTGCTCATGATCCGGTTCCTTCGAGGCCACTGCTCCCCTGGGGCTCAGTCAGCCTGTGCATGAGAGTGTGTGTGTGTGTGTGTGTGTGTGCGCATGCACGTGCACATTTGCATATGGGATCAGCATGTCATTGAGTGGCAGAGCCCATTTAATCAGCCCTAGGAGCCCCAACTCCAGCAAGTTTCTCCAGTGAGACCCCAAAGACAGGGAGGCCGCTCCTCCTACACTCTCCAAGGGGGACGTGTCCAGAGGTCTCTTCCGCTCCTGATGGCTGCGGTCTCCTTTAGAGCTCTCCTTCCGGGTGTGGATGTGCGGAGGGAGTTTGGAAATCGTCCCCTGCAGCCGGGTGGGCCATGTCTTCCGGAAGCGACACCCCTACAACTTCCCGGAGGGCAATGCCCTCACCTACATCAGGTAGGTGCCCACTGGAGGAGCCCTAGAGTGGAAGGAGGAGGGCATGGCCCTAGACGCCACTGGCTACTGGCCATGTGACTTCAGACTGCCTCCCTGCTGCGCCATCCTCAGTGTCCCCATTTTTCCCTCCAAGGCCTGACATTCTGGGATTCCCACTACTTCGAGGGATAGAAGGATGAGGTTAGGAGTCTTGTGACTAGCTGTGTCTTGACTCCCTTTGCCCATGAAAGTCTTGGGAAACTTCCCCAGTGACCAGCTGAGCCACACGCTCTCCTGTGGCCCCACCCCCACCCCCAGCCCCAGTGCTGGTTGGCCATGGACGTCAGTGTCCTGACCTTGCCCAGGACAAGCACCTGTCCATCTGTGTCCCAGCCACAGGGTGCCCTTAGTCTCACCAGAGAGTCAGAGGTCCTGGCAGCCCCGCCATCTTGATGGGGCTTGGGGGAGTGTCCTGTCCACCTCATCGTTGCTTTATCCTATGCACTTTGGAACAGCGGCTTCACAAGGCCTGGGGTTTGTTTTACCCCCCCCCCTTGTTTTTATAATTATAAAAATCATATATATTTTTGGCATAAAACTCAAACAATACCAAGGTAGATTATATATACACTCTGTATTATGTCCTCACATTTTTATATTACATAGAGAAAAAAATACAAGTCCTTTTTACCCATCCTTTCTTCTGTGCCTGTCCCACTTGTCTTAGCAGAACTAACTGCCGTTTCTAGAGGCTAATCTGTTATTTCAGGCCTTTAAACAGAGCTAAGCCTGTTATTAGGCCACTGGCCTTTAAATGCCTTTGCGTATGCACAGTTGAGGTGCAGAGAAACACCCCCCACCGTGTGCCGCCAGCAGGCCGTGCTGTGCACCCTTCAGCAGCGTGCACCCTTGCCCCCACGTGGGGTCACACACATCCGTCTGTGCCCACACACTCACCAGAGTCCTTTTGTTCAAGGTTGCCTCCTTCTCCATCCTGTGCACAGTTTTTCTCCTGCTGGAGGCCATTTGGATTGTCACTAACGTTCTGTTAAATATTCACGTACCTGTCCTTTTGGCCACATGCAGGTGTCTCGTAGCGTAGATTCCTTCAAGTGGGCAAGTCAGAATAGACAGAGCTGCAGAGCTGCTGGGTATTGGCAGGGCGTCCTCCAGCCAGATTGCACCAGTTCATACCACTGCAACCAGTACCATTTGGCATCTTCTGAGATGCTCATCCCAGCTACACAGAGCTCTGCTTTCTTCTTAAATGCATATTTTTAATGGACAAGAGTTTTATAAATACCAAACTTGGTCCTAACCTTAACACTGTCATCTCTCTGTGACCTTATTTGTTCCTTCCTCTCCTTGCAGGAATACCAAGCGTACTGCGGAGGTGTGGATGGATGAGTACAAGCAGTACTACTACGAGGCCCGGCCCTCAGCTATCGGGAAGGCCTTCGGCAGGTGGGCCACCACTTCTGGTCACCTCCATCCACCCACATTAGCCCAGTGGGGTGCACCCAATGAGCCACTCAAAATCTCCGTAGCAACTGAGCCTGGCTCTCATGGGCTCTGGGAGCCAGAGAGGACCCCTTGAGGGGATGCACACATCAGTGGGGTTTCAGCATATTGCCGTCTCCAAGCTGCCTGCGAGAGTAGGGTACCTATGGGGGTTTCGGGAAGGGGCTGCCTGCAAAAGAGATTTTGGGTTTCACATCCACCCCCATTCAAAACTGTCATCCGTCAGCCTGTTTCCTTCTTGGGTACTGTTAGGACTCTAGTCTAGTTAAGCATTTTCAAAATGCAGATGGGATGTGAAATCAATTTAGTGAGTCGTGACCAGCATTATAAAAAAGAGGAAGAAAAACACCATAGATTAGATTAGTACAAAATGAAATAGAAAATCAGAGTTGATTGTGATGAAGCAAGTGCTACTTAATGAAACTCATTTATGAAGTGGGGGTGTGTGTGCGTGCACATGTGAGCGAGTGTATACATGCACGCATGTCCACGCCGCACGTAAGAGCTACTTACCTCCTCGAGAAGGAGGTCAGGAGAGTTTGAAAACATTATTAAAGACTGACTGTGAATGAATCATCTTGGGGGCCAGGGAGATGGCTCAGTGGAATAAGCACTTCCCTGGCAAGCGCAAGGTCCTGAGTTCAATCCCCAGTTCCACCAAAAAAAAGAATGAATCATCTCTCCCCGCATTCATGTCCCCTGTTGACTGTGGAAGAAACAGACTCAGGTTGCAGGTTGAGGGACCTGGCCACGGCCATGGGTTGGCATCACAGTACACCCAGCAGGATGGCTCTTACCAAAACTTCCCAAAGATGTCTAAAACTTGCTGTTCTTTTTGTTCGACCCTTTCTCCTGAACTGGAAGGCAGGAGGGAAAATCTGTAGTTCAATAGGAAACTAAGGACCACGTGGTAGTGTGAGAACTGAGGTCTCCAAGAAGGAGAAGCCCAGGGGCCCCCACAAAAGTGAGCTCAGAGCAGGACGTGAGAGGCGAAAGTGAGACGCAGGGGGCTGATGTGACCTGGGTCATGGGCAAGGGCAGGCCTGCATGGCTCCTGGCCTTAGAATCATGGGGCTCATCATTCTAGGGCCCTCAGCCCCCTGCAGGGCTCCCTCCCCACACCTTGGTCTCTTCCCCTCCAGTGTGGCCACGAGGATCGAGCAGAGGCAGAAGATGGACTGCAAGTCCTTCCGCTGGTACCTGGAGAACGTCTACCCCGAGCTCACGTGAGTGCACCCTCAGCAGGCTGTCCCACACCTCCCATCCTGGTTGGCCCATTTTTCTGCCTGCTGGCTGAGGTGGGGGGGTACCTGGCAGGAGAATACCAGGAGTCATCACTTAGGTGTGACAGGAAGCACATTCCTGACTGGTTGTTGGACCTAGAAATAGACCTTGCCCTATGGGAAGACACTGCATTGATGCGGCAGAGGCTGCGGAAAGCTTCCTCACACCCTTGACCCGGCTCTCCCCTTGCCGGGAGTTTATCCTGAGGAAATAAAACAGCTGAAGCCAAAAGCTGCTGACAGGCAGATACTGCAGGCTTATCTGCTGCTGGGGAAAATGGAGAAGTGGCTCACAACAGGGGCTGGGCTCAGCGAACCTGCACACATCCATGTAATCAAGTACTATGCATCTGTTAATACCGCAGTCGCAAAGACTGGGAGAAACATAGGGAAACTTGTTCTATAAAATGAGGATGCGAAGCACAAATAGGGTGCACGCTGGGGCTGAGGTGCCCTAGGAGCAGGACCGTGTGGCTTCCTTTTTTCCTAAATCCTTTCTAATCTTATTTATTTGGTACAGCGTCTTGCTATGTAGCTCAGACTCATAGTGATCCTCCTGACTCAGCTCTAGGCCTAGTGCTAGGATTACAGGTGTGCACCACCACTCCCAGTTTCTGTGGCCAGCACAGCATGCGGTACTGGGGATCGAACTCTGGTCCTTGTGCTTGCCAGGCAGGCACTTAGACTGCTGAGCTATCTCCCCAGCTAAATCCTTTCCGGTGTCATGATCCAGCTGTAGGGTTCGTTTCCTCAGTTTCTTCAGGTCTTAACCAGAAGCCCCCCATCCCTGGCGTTTGGGTTTTTATCCATAGACTGTCCCGGCTCCTGGCCTGTATCTGGCCAATTAAATCCATTGCCACCTGCCACACTTGCCTGTGAGCTCCATGAAGGCACAAGCTTTGCTCAGTTTTGTTTATTGCTTTATTTCCAACATCTACAACAACACTTTTTACAAAAGAAGTATTTAATAAACACTTTCTGACTGAATAAATGTCATAGTCTGAAGGCCTCGAGAATATCTGAGGTGACATTCTCTCGCTATGGCTGTCACTCCTGGGGGTGTTGCTTATCCCGCTGCCACTGCCGCAGCTCCATCCCCAGGATGTGGGAAACTCCACCCCTCAGACTCCATGTGTTCTTGAGGGAAGCAAATCCCTGCTTTTGAAGGCATGTTGGATTTCTAGAAAGTAGCCAGAGTCGGGTTGTAGCCAAGCCCAGGGAATGTGCTAGATGATAAAACCAGATAAAGTTGCCCGCTGTTCCAAATACACATGAGCGTAGTAAAGCAGAGCTGAGTGTGCAGCCACTTCCAAGAAATTCCAGGACACTGAGCAACAGCGGCATCCTCAGACGAAAGTTGGCAGGCTAGGTGGCCAGCTCGCGGACGGCAGCTGTGCAGGGGAGTACATTCGATTCTAAAATGTCAGAAGTGAAAGCCTTCCCCGAGTCACTGCTTTCAAGGGGACTGAGCTCATCCACATGTATCACTTCTGAGGTGCTGAGGAGAAAAGAGCAGTCATTTCTCACAGCGTCTGGATGGAGTCTGTAGGCCCTTAACCTCAGGCCTTGAGCTGGGAGGCTGGAATTTGAGCTCAGTGAGGCCTGATCTTCCTGTCTTTTCAAGAGAGGCTAGATTCATATTTCTGTAGTACCTTAAAATTTAAATGGGGGTGTGGCCTGGAATCCTAGCACTCTGGAAGGCTGAGGCAGAAAGCTCATAAGATATGCTGTTCCATAGTTATTTATAATGGCCTCAGGCTTTTCTACCTTGTGGATGAATCAGAATTGATTTAGCCCATCCCCTGTTGTTGGATATCTACTCCAATGTTTCCAGTGTCAACCACTCTGAAATAAATATCTTTTAGCACACCTACAATTATCTCCATAGGATAAGTTCCTCAAAGTGGCATTGTTAGGTTAAAGGTGTATGCATTTTTAAGGACACTGATTCTTAATTTTGCACTGCCCTACCAGAAAGCTGGGCACATTGTGTTCTCACTGATGGGCTATGAGAAGATCATCTCACAGTTCTTACCAACAGTGGGCATTGTCACTAAAAACACATGTGTATGTGTATACCTGTGTTCTCAAATATATATGGTAAGGGACTGGGGAGATGGCTCCATGGAATAGGTGTTTCCCTGGCAAGCGCAAGGGCCTGAGTTCAATCCCCGGTTCCACAAAAAA